CAGTGCACACTATTTATCTTTCACTCTGGTAATCCACACAGTATTGCACTTCCGAGTTATAAAACCTTGAACACTCTGAAACTGCAAACCGAACTGTATGTAAGCAGTATATTCAGGCAAAGGCACCACCAACAATTCCGAGTTCATAACATTCTCAGCCTACTCAACCACATGTTAATATGCTACACGTGCTATTCTGCATATTTTTACCGTGTACACTTACAGCTATATGTTTCCTCCACTTTCCAATGCAATATATTTTAATACAAAATCAATGTGTGTTTTTAGTGGGCAGCAGAAAGGTTTTATCCACTCAGCTCTGAATCTAAGACGAAAGCGGTATTGATTTAGATGTTCACTCATTCATTTACGAGGGCAGTTTTAAAGCATTAGGTGATAACCTAATCGAGAGGCACACTGTGAGGGAAACTGAGATTGTTGTGATAAATTAAATCAGTTCTGGGATGTCATCTACAATACTTCAGTATCTGAAGTAACGTTCTCCTGAAAAAATTAAACCAGGAAACGAGCATCTTGGGTGGCAGAATATGGCTTTCTATAAATGCCAAGTAATACAAGCGGATTAAAATACGAATAGATAAATAAATTGCATATTATAGAAACATTAATGCAACACACCTTCTATATGTGCCTGTGTATGTGCTCATATATGTATGTATTTATCAGACTGGCTTCCATTTCCTACTGCAAACTGATCAGGGACCAATCGAAGGTGTGACTCTTTTGCCATCTATCTGCTTTCTCTAAAAAAACTGGCATCACACAGCATCCATACTTGTATTATTTATGCATACTTATTTTACAGAAGCAAATTAAGGCACATGAGACACCGAACAGTGTTACAACTGCTGCTTACCAAATCACGCTTGCATTGCTCAGGTACATACTTCCATGTGCATGAGGCCGGAAGGATTCGGTCTCACATCTGGGTCTCACATCTAGAGGAGCCTGTCCTGCATTCTCTCATGCAGGCAGAAAGAAAATGCTGATCCATCTACCACAGATTTGGACGGCTGACGAATCAGGCCCAAAGTCCCCCAAGCCCCTCCAGATACTGCAGCCATTAGCTGCAAGCAGCTTAGATGACTCTGCCTAGTGTTCAACACATACATTCTTCGCAGAGTGGGGCCAGCCAAAGAGAACACATGCAGTGCTGGATGCACCAGCAGAAAGGGCATTAGCAGAATGCGGGGAAATATGAAATTCCTTCCTAATGCAGGACGCAATCCAGTCAGGTACGAAGCACCCTCATTTTCCACTTTTTAAAAAAAATCGCCAGAGTATGCGGTCTCATGCTTTGAGCACGAAGCAAAGTGAAATAGTTAATAATGAGAACAAACATGTCTGTAATACAGATGATTCAGATTTAAAATTCATGAACTTACATGTAAGAAATAATTTTGTTCTGAATATTTCCTACATTTTTTCCACTTTGTGTTCATGCAGACTATTGTTAATAGATTTGTATTTTTCAAAGCAGTGGCTAAACGAAGAGGCTTTTTACATTACATGTGTGCTGAAACAGAAATTAAGTATAAAACTAGAATTTAGGATATTAAAACCCCCCCTGCATTTAAAAAGAAGAAAGGTTCTGGAGCTTTGAATTATGCCTCTTACTCTTAAGAGTTAATGGATGTGGATTTTTCCACCTCTGGAAGAGTGGCAGAAAGCCCCTGAGAAGCAAAGGGGCTGCTTGTTCACTATGCTGTGTTTTGGAACTGATAGCAATTTCTGTCTGAAAGAACTGTTGGGTTTAGGGACAAAACCTGCTTATCCAGATTAAAAAGTAATTTGTATTAATGTACAGTTTCAGCTATTAAAGCACAGAATTCTCACCATATGCACCAATAATTTAATCTTGTTCTTAAGCAGCCTCACAGTTCCAGTAAAAAAAAGGCAGGGGGTGGCAGGGGGAGAGTAAACTACAGAACCTTTAGTCCCCAAAACAGATGCCAGTTTTAGATTTATTCAGCCAAGGAGTATTTAGCTTGGCTCAGCTATGCTTAAGTTGAAAAAACACTCGTCTATTCCAAAAAGTTTTTAACAAGCTCTGCTGCAGATGCTGTTGCCATTTGGCATGTCACCGTCACTGTGTGGTACAGCAGAGAGAGAACTCTTGACCACAGGTTTTCCTTGGCTGGGGGAGCCAGTGTTTTTGGCTATCGCTCTTCTTCTGGCCAACTGGCTGCATGTTTACGGAGTGTGGTTTTAGACGGGGTGTTAACAGAGGTTGGGTTAACAGCCTAACCCAGACCAACAGGGAGGCGAAGGCATGACCTATCCAATCTAAGAAAACAGAGATAGAATAAGGTTGTATATATTGTTGCTCTTAACCAGAAGTCTCTTGCATGCACCATACCTATAGACAAGAAGGTATTTTTCTTTGCCTCAGGATAGATGACAACAACTTTAAAAGCTCTACCAGTCATGCAAAGTAGAAATATATAAAAACATGTGGTTGCTTAATCTTTGTCGGCTTGATTTCATTCTCTCACTTACGACAATTTTACCTTGGCGAAATGCCACTGAAAGAAGTTCAATGAAGTTATTCCTGTTTTCCACTAGATATTTGAGAGGATAAAAACCCTACAGAGTTAAACTGCAAACTTCTGTCCTTGTATTTCCACTAGCCAGCAAATGGCAGTTTTGAAACTGAAAAAGCCTAAGTGTTTCTACATTGATGAACTCGGTTCCAGGGATGTTGGTGCCGAATTCTTCCATGAAAGTGCATAAAAAGCTGGGGAAAACTTATAAATGCCCACTTGTGGTTTAGTTTACCTACATTAATCCTCTACCAGTACATATGCCTGAGAAGCCTTGACCTTGTAAGACATACAACAACTTTAAAAAACACTATGACATTTGACTTGTACAAGTAAATAATTTTTGTCCAAATTCTGAATCTTCTTTTTGACAACACCACCTTTGTTGCATTCAAGCAAAAGAAAACATCACAGTTTTATATACATCGTTCAGCCTGCTTTTCTAACACTGCCATTACCCTGACACACCACGCGCCTACCCGGAAAAAACAAAGCCCATGTACATTCAGACACATTTTACTTCACTTTTTATTAACTGACAATTTTCTTTAAGCCAAGTTGTGGAGCACAGACACCATCAGAGAACCAGCCAGACCATTCACTTAAATTCTACTAATCTGCACCAAAAATCCTATTTAACACAGTGTGGATCAGATAGCCCACCCTTCACTTCAGCTCCCTCTCACCGAGAGTTCAGCTAGGACTAGGAACATCTTGAAAGTTCATAGACTAAACTGACACAAAGGCAATTTACTGCAGCATATTAAAAAAGAATATAACATATGACTAAGAATGAAGTAAGCAGTGTCTGGCTACATCCCCCACTGTCTGGGTAACCAGTATGCAAGAGCAATATAAGAAAATAAAATCATTTAAAAATTATTTTTTCTTTTTACCATTTTGGCTTCTGAATGCATTGGGGGGACTTGAGGTGAAGCACATGGATTACTGAGGTTCGGCCCCTGCATCCCCATGATGTTGGAGTTCATTGACATTTGTCGCTCCATCTTTTAAAAGAAAAAGAAAAAAAAAAGGGTTTGAAAACGTCTGGAGACATTTGCAAGAATTTACGCTCAGTTTCTATTTAAATGGACTCAGCTTTATTTCTTCAAGTCATGACTGGAAAAATAACAATCTGTGTCGTGAATTGCATGTATGTATGCACACAGGCGTGTGTTTCATCAGAATCGGCCCTGAAAACTCACAGCCAATTATAAAGAAAAGGGTTCTTTACTAAACAAATGTAGCAGCCACCCAGGTTTGCGCTTTTTTGTAATGATTTTCTCCCTTTCAGTATAACAACACTCGGAGTTAAGTGGTTTTAAAAGCATCACTGTATAAAGTTGTGGCTTCCCCTGTCAGTGCAGCCCAACTTAGCTTGTTAAAAATATAAATAAAAATCTACAATCTCAAGTATATGGAAAACGAGTTGGCTCTTTTTCCTTCATTCGGACTGCTCAGCTGAGAAGAGTGTTCCATATGTCTTGTAAGAGAAGCTTTCATGTACTGCTGAGATAGCAAAAAACAAAGCAGAACTCCTCCTGGCTATTCAGAGCCCTTTCTGCAAGCTAATCTCACTAGGCTGGGAGGGAGGGACACAATTTTCAAACAAAACCTAATGGCAGTAAGGCCTGGATAAAATAATTTCCTGGAGTGTCTTCCCCGAAAAGAGGCAAGCCCTGTCACACCGCTAGTCATTGGTAGGGGTGGTAAGTAGGGTTATGGTGCTGCTTTCAACCAGAGCTGAGCATCCTCTGCCTTGCTTTGGGCCAGTCCCCTGAATCCCTGGCTCATACAAGAGAGAAACTTTTGGATCCTCCTGAGCTCTTCCAAGCAGAGGAGCTATTTTTTGTGCCCTGTGGTGAGGTATTGACTCCCACTCTCCCTGATCCCAGCAAGAATGGGTGCTGGGCCTGGGGGAGAGGACAATATCCCACTGCCCGCTGGCAGAGAGAAGCTGCCTCCGCCAGGGCCCCTCACCCTCTCCGTGGGGCAGAGACAGCTCCCGCTGCCATCTCCTCTGCAGCCCTCTCAGGAGGGCTGTGGGGCAGGGGATGCAGCCGGGGCAGCCAACGCAGATAGGGTCTGTCTCACCTCCACGCTCACGTCTCCGGGGCTCTCAGCCGGAGGACGCCTGCTTGTCTGCAAGCAGAGCTGCCCAAAGGGCTCCCCAGCAGCAACCCGAAGCCCCTGAACTTACACTGATGCAGGATGTTTGCTCCATTTCAGGTTCCTTAGGAATCATGCCAGAAAAAAACTGCCCACAGTGACATGTCTTATGTTTTTGTTGTTGAACTTCCTGATCAATATTCCAGGAGAGTCTTATTGACAAGTTACTAATTAATAACTTACTAATGACTGCTCAAATAGCAGCCAAATCTTTGTAGCCCTGTGGAATGTCCCCCTTGTTCCAGCAAAGCCAGAACAAGCAGTGCTTTCCTCCCTCCCGTGGTCAATCGCTCTCAGTTGTCTTCCAAACTGAACATCGTGGAATGAAACAGAAACTTTTCCTTTCCCAATCCCCTCTTCCCTGTGCCATCCTTACTCATCTCCACCCCTAATCTGCCCAAATGTCTTTTATTGAAAAGGTTGTTAAAATCATTTAAGAATTTGAAGCTACAATTGCAAAGCGCCCATTTGTCTTCCAGAAGATGGGAAATATTCCCATCTCTACAGAAATGAGTGGAAGATGAGCAGCGATCATGACCAAATTCTAATTAAGTGCGAGTGACCAGGTTGGAAAAGTAAGTCACATTTCTTTCTTGTTAGCTGATTATCTCCCACAAACAAGAAGATTACTTAGAGTTCAGTTCACTGGCATAACTTACGTTCATGGCTTTTCTGACTTCAGAAAAATCCTTTTGTTCCAGCATAGACATACTGTTCTCACCTACATGACCAAGTGTGAGAACCAGCAATTGATGTAAACCGCTTCTAATCACTCTCACGCTAATTAACATGCCATTAACTGCACCAGAAGTACTCTTGTGTAAGACGAAGCAGTGAAAAAGGTCCAGGTTCCTTAACTCATTACACTTTGATTTTTTAGAAAATCCAGCAGACTTTCACCTCTGCATAGGTTAAACTGAGTAAAAAACCAACCTTCCTCCCCTCCCAAAAAACCCAAACCAAAAAACTTACAGGCATGAGAACAGCAGAAGATCCAGGCATGGTAGGGTTGGGCAGGGTGCCAGGCATAGAGGCAGGCATAGGCTGTCTTTGTCGGTTGTGTAGGTGCAATAGTGAAGACAGAGAACCTGGGACAGGCCTAGGAGAAAAGGAAAGAAGGCTGTCATGGGCTACGGAGACCAAAACAAGCCTTACCGGCCAGCCATTGCTAGGCACAGGCAACTCCAGACGAGCAGGCGCAGATAAGGCAATCCAGCATTTGTCCTCTCCTGCATAAATTGGTAGAAAAGAAAGTTTTCAAGAAACAGATGAATCACCTTCCCTCTACTATTTATTGGTTAAAGCACCAGTATAGTTCATCTGATAGAACATGAATGTAAACGTAACAGCTGGTCTCAGTCTATGCACCTCTGCATCTTACAATGGCCAGCAAAGGATTTCTACAGACAAAGCAGGAAAATTTCCTGGCATGCCACATCAGCGCATTGTTGTAAATTCAGCCCTCGGGAACAAAAATATCTGGATGATAGTTTTGCAGACTATGACAGAAAATTAAACACGCTTAAATTAATTTTGAAATTTTATCACCTGTAAATAAACTACTCTAAAATGAGTATTTCGTCTCGCTCTTGATATTCTCTCCTGTGAAAATCTACCAAGCCTTTGTTCCAAAGTGAGGTTCCTGATTTTACCAGTTAGCATGTCACCCGGGCACAGAAAATGCAAAAAAAAGACAGAAAATTAGCAAAATTACATTCAGATTAAGTAGCTTGTAAAGGCAAAAAGTATGGGCTATAAAAAAGCAGAGTGAGTTATTTTGGCAAAAGGAGTTCAAAAGATTTGGAAGGATTTTTCTAAGTACAGCACAGGGAAAAGAGTGCATGTGAGAAATCAGGCCCACTCACAAAGAAGAAGAATCATAAAATTAATGGATTAAACAAAGCTGGGACTACTCTTTGAAAATAGCCTGGTCTTGGGAGTTAGTTAAATTAATCAGTTTGGTATGTTTTTTTGTTTTTTATTTTATTAGTTTTGAAGAAGGAATGAGTTGCTTTAAGTTTGGGGTAAATATAACTTGTTACCTTTTCAAAAAGCATGAAAATAAGAAAGCTTTCACATTCAGCACCTCAACAAACATTGCTAGTACAAGTTAGTATGTTAAACTCTCACAGAGCAGGATGCTCTGCAGTATAGTACGCGGTTTACACTGTTTATTAGGCAGGAGAGACACCCCTAAAGGTATGAGAAGGACCGGAGAGAAGGGGGCATAGTCCGGGGGCTTGAAGAGCCTCTGCAGGGGGGAACGTGGAAAGAGTCTAAAGACGTTTGGAGCCTCTAAACATCAGGGTTGATTTTCAGCCTTGGCAGAAGCATCCTTTGCTTCAGTGTCGAATCCACAGCTAGCCATGAAAGCTTCAAAATCAGGCTGGGCCGGTCAGGCAAGCAGAATCATAACCTCAGAGCTGCGAGGGGGAAGACAGTCACTTCTCCTACTTGGTCTGAACCGTGCCATACTAAATGATGGGGCTTTACTCTTGCTCCTCCAATTCTAAGTGATACTGGCAATCATGAATACATACACCCCTCCTCTAACTTTAGCTGTCACTTCCGTTTATCCAACAACAAGCAGAGGCCAAAGGCTGTGAGCAATGGGATTCACAGACATCTCGTATGGAGGACACCACACCCAGGCTCCCAAAGCAGAGGTGCCTGTCTCATGGCAACACCAGCTTCTTCTGACGTGCAAGACTCATCCTCTTCTGCCCAGAGCTCAAACCACCTAATCCCCTCTTCCCTAAAACTCCCCAGTATTTCCCATCCTTGGACTTCTAGTCCTTCAACCCTCCTCTCTTCAAGCCTGTTCCCCCCAGAAACATTTCTGTCCCAACAAATGCCACCTCAAAGTCCTTGCCCTGCCCACTCCCCCGTACCCAGACACCCCTGCTCCTCCCACCCCTCTGCCCGCAGCTGCCCTCTCTTCAGCAGCTGCACATGACTGAACCCATCCTTTTGTCTTGGTTCTCCATGGAGAGAAAAAGCCTGTGTTTTGAAGGATGTTTTAAAAAATCCTCCCAGACACATACAGTACTTATTCAGAAGGGGGAAAAAAAACCTAAAACAACAACAAATGTATCTCAGATACAGACAAGAAGCTCTTCCTATGCCTCCCTGGTTATCTGCTGATGGAGGAATATGATGTACTTTACCTCTTCATACCCCCCCAAAGAAACTCAAGACAATGTATTCCAAATAAACGGTGTAACTCTGTGAGAGGGTGCAAGAAGCGCTGTAAGGGAGCATGAATCAGCTTCTGGGATAGGGGACTCTATGGTCACCTGAGGAGCTGTGGAGGTGGTGTAAGTGGAATGGATGTAGAGCAGGAAAAATGAGCTCAGAAAATATACTTGAAGTACACAGCCCCTGGCCCATCCTACTCTCCGCTTAAAACACAGCCGCTCCATGTATCAGCAGTCAGTCACACAAGGGGACTGACGAATCATCAGGACAGGGTCAAAATAGCACGAAAAGCAGATTCAGTGATCCTTTGAAAAGAAAAAAGTGAGGAGATGCCAGGCTGAACGAGGGGAGGAGAACGATCTCAGTTTGGTTTCCAGAGGCTGTGGTGACCCCCACAAGCAGAGTCCACTTCCCACCGGCCTATCTTCACCGCAACTACAGCCCTGCAGAGCAGCAGACAACAAGTTCAAACAGGTCTTCTCTATCTCCTATTTTAAAGTCCGTGCGACAGCCGCCAGACGGAAAGGCTGAGACCCTGGGGGGGCTGAGGAGCAGGACGGAGCGTGCTGCAGCCCCTGCCGGGGACGCACCCTGGGTTTCCTCCCGGGAGGGGGGGCAGGGAGGAGTGGGCAGGACAGGAGAAAGCGCCGGTGCACTCTCCTGGGACGAGACTGAGGTGTGCACCCACCCGCCCGCCGGAGCTCTGGAGGCCTCTGGCTCCACCGGCTTAGATACAGCCTACAGGAACTGCGCTGGCTAACAGGAGCAATCCATTCAATAAAAGTACCACTTGAGTTTTCAGTGGGACCAAAGTAAAACAAGTACTATGACAACAGCCCCCCCCTTTATTCATTCTGAGACTGTCCCACATACAGACCCTTTGTACAATTCACCAGTTTCATAATAAGCCTAGGTGTGAGGCTGTTTGACAGAAACTTATTTTGGCCTGACCTATGCAATTTGCCCAAGTGATTCTCAAGGGACTGCACGGTTTGAGTTTTGCTTGTATGTTCCAGAGCCAAAAAAATTTCCAAAATTGCTTTAATGAGTTTGGGAATATGGGATTTGGGCAAAAGGGAATTATTGGTATTTATTAAAATGGCAGAGAGGCTTCCTTGCTGTCCCCAGTTTCACCTTTAATGCTGCTTCGCTTTGGGGGTCTGCATATGCTTTACACTTAGCTAGAGGAAAAAAATCCTCAGTACTTCAGGTATTTTTCCTTGCTACACTCCTGCTAGTCTGTTCCCAAGTGTGTTTTTGCAAAGAGGCGCACAGCAGTCAGAGAAACCTTGTGCCTCAAGGTTGACCCTCTTCGTTTAAAAGTCTGCACCGCTCCTGCCACCAATAAAAGTGCTACGTAATGCACGCCAGATTCCGCTCCCCATCGGGGAAGCTGACATTGGCCAGTACTCATGGATACTTCTATTGCTTCCACATTGAATACAGGTGATCGATTAGCACGTCCTCGTGAGCACTCACTCGCACAGAGCTCAGGGAACGTGTATGGCACGGAACCGTACAGGCTGAGATACTCAATCTAAGACACTTCTTCTCCTTCCAAGGACAACACAATCTCTTTGTTGTTGCTTTCTATCCTGCAGCAAAGAAAGTCAGTGAGAGTTTATAATTGTTATTTTTAATGTTGGACACGTCGACTCTGCTCCTCTCTTTGTAAATGCTGAGAAGGTGCTGCCTGCAGCCTGTCAGTCAATATTGCTGACTGAGGGATTTTAAGTCCTTGGCACCTGTGCTGCTAAATAAATAGGGTTGTTGGGCAATCAGCCCACAAATAAAGGACAGATAAGATAGAGAACTGGCAAGTGCTCAACCTCACTGAATATCTGGCCATCCATGGGGTTTTTCCCAAATTTAAGAATTTTCATTGTGTTCCAGCAGGAGCCTGCTGTTGGACACAATGGGGTCTCAGTCAGCATTTTACACTATCTCTTTGGGCGTACGGGGCCTGGATGGATAGCGTTACGGTGGCTTAGTAAAATACCACGTTAGCCAAGCTGCTGTAACTGACCACGTTGGCTCCCCTCCCTCTGCACGGTCGTGCTAACACCGTGAGTCATCCTTACTAACATTTAAACAGATGGGCGGTACCCCGCTAAGCCATGGTGACTCGATCATGTTCCATCACATGACTCTACCCAATGATTAAAGATAACTCCACTAATGTAATCAAATATCTATGATATATACTTCGCTATGTGCCTTCTTCATTAATACCAAATATTCTGTCTGGTATGATGCAACACCTAGCTGACCCAGTTTTCTAGATTGTCTGATGACTACACACAACATTTGTCTATTAAAAGACTAGGCTTCCCTTAATTTGTAGTCTTCAAGGACAGTTTCTGCAGATGACAATTTGCTGCTGAGGTCTCATGAGATTAGGTTCATACTGACCTAGACCATTCAGGACTACGTGCAGAAGGACTAATGCTATTTAAAGTATCACTGCAGTATGTTTTCTATTATGGTAAAGCACTCCAGGTCAGTGGGTCTCACCATGACCTCTCTCCTGCTCCTTACTTGTAGCATTCATGCAAGCTCAGCAAGAATACCTACACCACAACCCAGTTTGTTCTACTTCAGTTAGCTCTGGCGTGGAAAAAGTAAAGCCGTAAGTATATGGAGTTGCACTGGAGCAAAGGAACTCATCTCTTCACTTTCTATGGCCTCCAGACCCAGCCAGCTCACAGAGGAGCAGCCCACAGGTGGCTGGTTGTGCTGTGGCAATTCGCCATGTTGGGTCAGCACTGGCTCAGGGATTTCTGCACCACGCTCCAGTTACGCAACACAGACTTGCCCAGACTTTCATCATTTTTATGTATTTGTATATATATATATGTATGTACATATATATATATTTATTACAACAGTGCCTAGAAGCCTTGGTTTAAAAACTTTGGGTGAGGTCCTGCCCCCTATAGACCAAGGATAAAATGAGGGAGAGCAAGTG